TGGCGGGCCGCGCCCCCCCCGCTCCCATAGGGGTGGCGCCCCTACCCGTGGCGGCCGCGCCCCCGCAGTATCGCCCCGGGGCAGCAAGGGGCGCGCCCCTAAACTCACCAAGCACAACCCCCTGTCCCGACGTAGGACCCCCCGCCATCAGGGGCGGGGCCCTGTCCCGGGCAGAGGCCCATGAGGGAGATACAGGGCGGCCTCAGCTCCCAGGTAACTAACTTGTGGGAAGCTCCTCTCGGCCGCAGCCCCGCGCAACAAGTTCCCGGCCAGCCCCCGCCCCAGAGCCGGGCTCTTACCTCCGCCATGTTCACTGGGCGGGCGGGACAGGGAGTAGGGAGGGTCACATCGCCGCCGCGGCGAAGGAAGCGGCACCGGCGGCGGCGGGTCACGGTCTGTGCGGCGGCCGGGGAGGGGGGCCGCCGGGGGCAAAGACACCAACGTCACTGCGTACAGGCGGCGGGCGCGCCCCCGACAGCACCCAGTGCACACTCCAGGCCGGGCCCGCGCGCTCCCAAGACGTACCACAAACAGCTGACGTAGAGAACAGAAAGCCCCGCCCTATCAGGTTCTACTCCCCAGCAAATAGGGAAATCCTTCTTCCCCCTCCCATCGGTGCAGGCCTCTGGCCGTCAGAGCCCCTCTTACGTCTAGGCACGAGCGTGCGAAGGCCGCTCCGGTTGGCATATGGTGCCGGACGCCAGTGTCACTAGCTAGCAGCACCTCTCCCCCTCCCAGTGTCACTCACGAGTCTAGCAAAAGAGCTGGTCCCTCTACTGCACTCGCAAACGATGGCATCAGTTACCTACAAACAGGGTTCACTTGAATAACCAGCATAAGTACTCTCCCTTCCCCGGTGCAGATCACCAGCCCGTATACATCCCACCCGACCCCATGCAAGTCAAGACACCGGGACAAACAGTACTCACCTTCCCCCAAGCACTGTAAATCACCTCCACACATACTTCCCCTTCCCCCTCTCCCTTCCCAGTGAAATCACTAGCACACATTCACCTCCCATACAAATCACCAGCACACATACACTCCCGATGCAAATCACCAACCAGCAAACAGGGTTCATGCTCGTCTAAATCACCAGCAAATTATTATTTACAGTATCAGTACTGCCAACATCAAGCATTCAAAAATCATGAGACAGGTCCCAAACAATCATGCAATCGGCTTAAAAATTAGATTTAAAATATATATATTTAGAATTTAGGGACTTTTTTTGCCTTCCGTTCCTCTGTCCTTAAGATGCACTCATTGCATGTTTTTAAGCCTTTTCTACAACCACGAGGACCAGAAACTTGCTTTACAAAAAGGAAAAACCAAATCTGAGAGTCTCATGTAATAACAGGACTCCAGGAGCTAGGGCTATAAGTAAAGTATCATAATACCTGTGATACAACCACAACCATTGTCAGCACTGTGTAGTGTCTACAGCAGGGGTCGGCAACCTTTCAGAAGGGGAGTGCCGAGTCTTCATTTATTCACTCTAATTTAAGGTTTCGCGTGCCAGTCATTTTAACGTTTTTAGAAGGTCTCTTGCTATAAGTCTATAATATATAACTAAACTATTGTTGTATGTAAAGTAAATAAGGTTTTTAAAATGTTTAAGCAGCTTCATTTAAAATTAAATTAAAATGCGGAGCCCCCCAGACCAGTGGCCAGGACCCGGGCAGTGGGAGTGCCACTGAAAAAGGCGGCACGCGTGCCATAGGTTGCCTACCCCTGGTCTACAGACACCAATCCTGACTGAGGCGTCATTGTGCTAGGCACTGTACAAACATGTAGTAAGAGACAGTCCATTATCCAAAGAATTTACCATCTAAACAGCTAGGAAAAGGGTAAGAGCGGTCTCCTCTCCCTAGTGTAAGGCACCAGTAAATAGAGTCTCACCAGGTACAAGTCAAAAGGATGTGCATCTGTCTTAAATTGCAACAACTAAGCTTTGTTTACTTTTGTAATGAATTAAGACAAAGGACAACAGAATTATAATAACTTGTTTTAATTTAGGACAATCAATTTTTTAAAAAATGTCTAAATAGATGTCAGACTCAAAATCACAATCCAAATTTTACCGATACTCTGAGTATAGGATCTGTGACATAATCTGTTGGGGAGCTCATTAGCACTGTAAGGAATGTTTGCTTTGTGAGCTGGTTCATGCACATACTATAAATGCCAATTAGGGCTGCAAAGCCTGATTGCCCTGATAATACCTCAGCAGAAGTCAGTGATGTTTTCTGTAGACTGACACAAGATTATATTAACCAGTACAAATGGAAGGTTAACAAAGACCTTACATGAGATACAATATAACTAATTGGCTTAAAACAGACAAATATAAATTAAATATAACCAAACTAAAAAGTACACTCACATTTTCTATTAATATTATTTCTCTTTATTCTAGATTCCCTATGTCAATTGTATCTGGTCACTGCCATTTTTTCCCCCCAAATAGATTAAGCAGTGGTGCAAATTTAGGCCTCAATCCCGCAAACATTTAGACCTAGTCTGCACTACAAATTACATCAACATAAGCTGCCTTGCCTTGACCTACTTGTGTATGTGTCTACATTAAAATTTGACTCCTACCAACGTGAGCGCTTCATTATGCCAACATAGTAACACCACCTGCCTGAATAGCACTGAGCGATGGTTGATATACTCAGATCAGTGCAGAACAAGTGTAGACACTGTGTTACCTATGTCGACTCAGCCCTGGTCTACACTATGAGTTTAGGTCGAATTTAGCAGCCTTAGCTCGATTTAACCCTGCACCCGTCCACACGACGAAGCCATTTTTGTCGACTTAAAGGACGCTTAAAATTGATTTCTGTACTCCTCCTCGACGAGGGGATTAGCGCTGAAATCGACATTGCCGGGTCGAGTTTGGGGTAGTGTGGATGCAATTCGACGGTATTGGCCTCCGGGAGCTATCCCAGAGTGCTCCATTGTGACCGCTCTGGACAGCACTTTCAACTCAGATGCACTGGCCAGGTACACAGGAAAAGCCCCAGGAACTTTTGAATTTCATTTCCTGTTTGGTCAGAGTGGCAAGCTGATCAGCACAGGTGACCGTGCAGATCTCATCAGCAGAGGTGACCATGGAGTCCCAGAATCACAAAAGAGCTCCTGCATGGACCGAATGGGAGGTACTGGATCTGATCGCTGTCTGGGGAGATGAATCCATGCTATCCTAACTCCGTTCCAAAAGACGAAATGCCAAAATATTTGAAAAAAATCTCCAAGGGCATGAAGGACAGAGGCTATAACAGGGACCCGTAGCAGTGCTGTGTGAAACTTAAGGAGCTGAGGCAAGTCTACCAAAAAACCCAAAGAGGCAAATGGCCACTCTGGGTCAGACCCCCAGAAATGCTGCTTCTATGATGAGCTGCATGCAATTCTAGGGAGTGCCCCCACCACTACCCCACCCTGTTTGTGGACTCCTGCAAGGGGGGAGTCTCACGCAACAGGGATGAGGATTTTGGGGACAAGGATGATGATGATGATCATAGAATATCAGGGTTGGAAGGAACCTCAGGAAGTCATCTAGTCCAACCCCCTGCTCAAAGGAGGACCAATCCCCAGACAGATTTTTTCCCCAGATCCCTAAATGGCCCCCTCAAGGATTGAACTCACAACCCTGAGTTTAGCAGGCCAATGCTCAAACCACTGAGCTATCCCTCCCCCCAAATGATGAGGAGGAGGTTGAAGAATGAGCACAGCAAGCAAGCAAGCAGAGAAACCATTCTCCCTGACAGCCAGGAACTGTTTATCACCCTGGAGCCAATACCCTCCCAACCCTCCCAAGGCGGGCTCCTGAACCTTGAATGCGGAGAAGGGACCTCTGGTGAGTGTATCTTTGTAAATATAATACATGATTTAAAAGCAAGCATGTTTAATGATTAATTTGCCCTGAAGACTTAAAGAAGCCAAAAGACTGTGGCTTACCATGGCTGCCTGCAAGCCGAATTCTGTTGCCCAGCCCTGTGTGTGTGATCTCTCACACCAAACCGGCAGGCCCTCAATATAAGAGGCAAAATGTGACCTTGTACTCTAAAATGTGTCCTTTTAAATACTACTCTCCCTTTTTTTCCTACTGCAGCTGCAAATATTTCAACACTCTCCCTATCACCTCCGTCCCAGAGGCTAGCGCAGATAAGAAGGCGAAAAAAACGCACTTGCAATGAAATGTTCTCTGAGTTCATGCAGTCCTCCCGCACTGAAAGAGAATATCAAAATGCGTGGTGGCAAACAATGTCAGAGTCCAGGAAAGCACAAAATGAACGCGAGGACAGGAGGGACGGATGGAGCAAGAGGAGAGGTGGTGGCAGCATGATGAGAGGAAGCAGGAGGCAATGCTGAGGCTACTGGAGGATCAAACTGGTGTGCTCCGGCGTATGGTTGAGCTGCAGGAAAGGCAACAGGAGCACAGACCGCCGCTTCAGCCCCTGTGTAACCAACCACCCTCCTTTCTAAGTTTCATAACCTCCTCACCCAGACGCCCAAGAACGCGGGGAGGGGGGCTCCGGGCACCCAACCACTCCACCCCAGAGGACTGCCCAAGCAACAGAAGGCTGGCATTCAATAAGTTGTGAAGTTCAGTGTGCCCTTGTCCTTCCCTCCTCCCCCACCCCTCCCGGGCTACCTTGGCAGTTATCCCCCTATTTGTGTGATGAATTAATAAAGAATGCATGAATTTGAAACAACAATGACTTTATTGCCTCTGCAAGCGGTGATCAAAGGGGGGAGAGGAGGGCGGTTGTTTTACAGGGAAGTAGAGTGAACCAAGGGGGCGGGTTTTCATCAAGGAGAAAAACAGAACTTTGACACCGTAGCCTGGCCAGTCATGAAACTGGTTTTCAAAGCTTCTCTGATGCGCAGT